CCTGCTTATGCAGGGGGTTGGACTCGATGATCTATTGAGGTCCCTTCCAACCCTAGCATCTATGAATCTATGAACTCATTAAGCCTCCCTGTGATGCATGATGTTTTATTATTCTGTATGCATAGTGATTTAACAAATCCCCAAAGCCATGACAGAAGGTGTGTGTCGGGGATGGGGGAGGGAGTAAGATCATGATGACTGCTTTGTATGTGGAGTGCGTGAGATGGAGATTCATCCCACCCCTGGTAGAAAGAGTTTGTGGTGTCAGAGGATTGCCTGATGGGGACTGGATGGAAGGAGTTTTTGTGAAGAACAGGATGGAAGTTGCCCACCAACGTGCTGGCCCTCTGTGTGCAGTGTCAGAAGGCTTGTGCCACTTGTGTAGTGAAGGTAAACAGATAGACCTTGCTGTCCTTGTCCTCTGCCCATACTCCTGGGCTGCCTCTGGCCCTCAGGATTTCCTTCTACTAGGCTTCCCTTCTGGTACATACTCTTGTTCTCCTTCTCCCTCAGCTGGAATTGGCTGCTAGTTTTGTGCCCAGAGATATTTGTTTTCCCATCATCTTTCTTCCTCCCCTACCCAGGATGAGGTTATTCTCACTGCTGATAGAACAATGATTCTCAGCCAGGGTGTCATGGCACCCTGGGTGACATCAGATCCTTTGAGGGGTGACTGTGAGGTTGTGAGGAGATAAACACATAAGCACAGATTCAGGATTTTCCCTGCCTGGCCAGTCTCCCATCCCCATTGCCCAGTTCCTCTGCAAGGAGGTCAGCACTGTAATATATAAATTAATGTTTGAAATTGGGTGCCAGCCAGTTCACAAAAGTTATGGAGGGGTGCCTTGAGTCCAAAAAGGTTGAGAACCACTGCAATCGGAGAACAGTGGCATAACAAGGCAAGCTGGCACCTGGAGCAACCCTTGCAGGAGAGCAGGGGGCGGGGTACATGGTTCTGAGAGGAGCAGGGGGTGCAGGTAGCAGTGGTGGTACCGCATAGGTCCAGTGGTAGAGTTGTGGGGGCAGCAGGCTTACCCAGCTGGGAACTTCTATACAGTCCTGGCTGAGCTGCTGCCATCGCACCTGCGCTGCCCATTCCAGCGCTGTTGCTCTTAAAGCAATGACAGCTGGAAACTGTTCTGGAGTTCCTGGCACGATAATGATGCCAGGGCATAGACTCTGCAAAGGTGTCCCTCCTAACTTGGTGCTTGAGGCAGGTTCCCTTCTCACCCACCCCTGGTTACACGACTGTAAGACAAGCCTTCTTTTGCTCCTTCCCGCCATTGCCCATGTGAAAAAGTACTGATCCATCCCACTCAGAGATCCAGGCAACATATGACTCTGCCCCCACCCTAAGCCTCAAGGATGCTGCTTCCTGAATGTGCTGAGACTGGGAGTTATTCCAGCCTGGCAGCCTGTCCTCTGTGGTGGCTACATTTTTATTATGCATCTGGCATGAACATGCATGGGTAGCTGTGTACATGCCTGGTCCGTGCATAACCAACTGTGTATGCTCAGCTTAGGTGTGTGCACTTACACAACCACAGCACAGGGTAAAACAACTGCAACCTGCACATAAGTACCAAACTAGCCATGTGCATGACTGGAAAGTTGCCCATTAGGTGCACAAGGGCACATAGACTTCTGCCCCAAGTGCTCATTTTCTTCTGTCCTGGGGGAAGCACCTGTGTGTCCATTGAAGGAGCCTCCCAGATTGTAGCAAGCCCCTCTCACTTTGGTCTCCAGGCTGCATCACACTGCTGTATTAATTGGCTTCTGTGCATCTCAGTTCCAGAGGTGGAGGAGAAGGTGAGAGGAGGGTGTGGAACCAGCCCTGGTATTGTACAATGAACCTTTTCAATCTGGCTGCTCCTTTCCTTCTCCACCTGGATGGGTCTTAATCAGAAGAAGAGGAAAGAAGGCAGCTGGTACGTGAAGCAGCTGATAGCACCCTTACTATCTTCTCTCTCTTTTCAGTGAGGATGATGCGGCCACTGTGTACAGATCAGCAGCTATGCTTAACATGACAGGCTCAGGATACGTGTGGCTGGTGGGAGAGAGGGAGATCTCTGGCAATGCCCTGCGCTATGCCCCTGACGGTAGGAACCTCCATTTCCTGATGCTGAGTGCTCATTGGGTGCGCTGATCAATACAGGCTTAACAACTCCATCTCAGCCAGAGCAATGAAAGGGCTCATAACACTGCTATGGCGATAGATTACATTCTAGTGCGATGATATTTTTCTTGTACTTACTTTTCATAAAGATAAATATTGCTGCTGGCAGCTTGGGCTGTTTTCTGTACAGGTTCTGAGAGAGTGAGCAGGAGGTGCAAAGAACTATGGGCACCAGTAGCCCAGGGATGTATTTCACCACTATGGACATAGAAGCAAATATCTTTACAGGAGTAGGCTGGCCAGAATAAGCAGTGAGGTTGGGGCACATAATCTAAGTGGAGAGCTTTGCACTCAGTGTAGCATTCTTGCACATATAAAGCCCTTGGCTCTTT